ACTAACAGAATACAGATTACAATTAATACAGTAAGAGAGAGACCTAACTAATAGGACTAAGACTAGATCAATATTCTAGACTATAAAATGTACACAGTAACATACATAATAAATCATAAATAACAACATATACAAATATTCCCCCTCAAGCGCAAGGTTGGTGAAGCACAACATTGAGCTTGTCACAAAGAGTCCCGAAGCGCGTTGCGGGTAGCGGTTTGGTGAAGATGTCTACAAGCTGATCCTTGGTCGAAACAAAATGAACCTGGAACTCAACGGTCAAGACGTTGTCCCGAACAAAATGATACTCAACTTCCACATGTTTGGTGCGTGCATGAAAAAACGGGTTCGCACAGAGGTATGTGGCACCTAGGTTGTCACACCATAGTGTGGGCGCAGTAGTGGGAGTCATGCCTAGCTCCCGTAGTAAAGACATAACCCAAGTCACATCTGCACAAACATCTTCCAGGCCCTTTTACTCAGCCTCCGTCGCAGAGCTTGCTACTGTGTGCGAGAAACCCAGGAGATGAGATTGGAGCCCAAAAACACAGCGTAGCCACTGGTGGACTTCCAGTCGAGGGGGCAGTCGGCCTAATCAGAATCAGAGTAGGCGTGAATGTCTGAGGACGCAGATGAGGAGATACGGAGTTCGTATTCCAGCGTCCCCTTGATGTGGCGGAGAATAAGCTTGAACAGCCCCTAGTGTTCCTCTGTGGGGGTATGCATAAATTGGCAGAGGCGGTTGACAGCATAGGACTGGTCCGGACGAGTGATAGTGAGATACTGTAGGGCCCCGACTAAACGTCAAAACTGTGCCGGATTGTCAAAAAGATCAGTAGACTGACTGACTGCCTGAGTGACAGACGCGGGAGTGGCGAGTGGTTTGCAATCTGTCATCCAAGCATGCTGAAGGATGTCTCGCATATAGCGTCTCTGTGAGAGAACCATGCCCGCCGGTGTAGCTAGAGTCTCAATAACTAGAAAGAATGTAGGCGTACCCAGGTCCCGGATTTTAAAGGTCGAGGCCAGCTGTTGAAGAAGAGTGTTGACCAAGGCGACGTCGTTCCCTAACATGACGAGGTCATCCACATAGACGAGCAGAAACACCCGAGAATCACCAGTGGAGTAATGAAAGAGGGAGACATCCGTTTTGGAAGCAACATAACCTGCAAGTAGAAGGAAATCATGCAGACGCTTAAATCAGGCCCCTGGGGCTTGTTTGAGCCCATATAGAGAACGTTGCAGGTGGCAGACATGATCCGGGTGATCCGGGTCTTCGTACCCTGGGGGTTGGCGCATGTAGCCAGTTTTGGCTAAGTGACTGTTTAAGAAAGCGTTGTGGACATCTAACTTGCGTAGAGTCCACCCGCGATACACGGCTAGTGAGAGTAAAATCTGGACAGTTGTTAGCTTGACCACTGGACTAAATGTCTCGAAGAAGTCCTCGCCTGCCACCTGATTGAACCCTTTCGCTACTAGGCGAGCCTTGTAGCGCTGGACCGAACCATCAGCCTTACGATTGGTGCGGGAAACCCATTTACACCCGACAATATTCATGGTGGGTGTGGCGGGTACTAGCTGCTAGGTGTTGTTGTGTAGTAACGCGTTGAACTCCTGGTCCATTGCGTCACGCCATTTCGAGTGCCCAACTGCCTAGGAGTAGCAAGTGGGGTCGAGAGCGACCGGAGATGCGGTAAGAGCGTGAAACTGCTCGCTAGACCCTTGTGTCATGCATCGCAGCCACATCACATGGGCCTGATTTTGAGGCTGGGCCCTGGGCCTCCGCCGTCTTGGTGCCTGAGTTAGAGCACTCGGACCGGTTGGAGGCGGTAACGCTGGTGCATCATGACTGGGATTTGAGATTATGGGGCCAGAGCCCCACGGGAAAGCCATCGCATCTGACTGTGGCACCTTCTACAAGGAAACATCTGTTGTAAAAGGAAAGTTAGTCTCGTCAAAGCGGACATGACGACAGATATAGGCTTTTCCGGTATTTAAATCTATGTAGCGGTAACCCCTAAAAGACGGTGGTAACCTAAGAAGACACACGGGGCTGATCGGTACTCGATTTTATGACGATTGTAAGGCCGAAGATATGGGAAAAAAAGACACCCGAATACACGGAGATATGTGTAGGTGGGTGGTGTTTTGTAGAGGCGGAAATAGGGAGTATCAAACTGGAGTGAGGAGGACAGTAGGCGATTTATGAGGTAAGTTGCAGTTTCAAACTCGTACTCCCAATAGCATTGCGGGACCGATGCTTTGGCCATTAGAGCTAGATCAGTCTCGACAATATGCTGATGCTGGCGCTCGGTCATTTTGTTCGTGCGTACAAGCGCATGACTTTCTGTGCATAATACCCAACGTAGTGAATAATTTGTGGAGTTTAAGGTATTCCCCCCCAAATCAGACTGAATGGACTTGATAGAACATGAAAACGTACGTTCTACCATAGCCCGAAAATCATCAAATATTTTATATATGTCAGTTTTGAGTCGTGGAGGATAATATCAACAGTAGCGGGTGTTATCATCTATGAAGAGTACAAAATAACGGGAACCATACGCAGATAGAATTGGTGCGGGGCCCCAAATATCAGTGCAAACGAGATCTAGTACATTATTACTCGATTTTGCTACCCTATCCAAAGGAAACCGAGATGATTTCCCGAGTTGACACGAAGGACACAAACTTGGAATTACACTTTTATTAGACTCAACCGGGCAATCCCGTAAGACACGTTGGAAAGCTTGACCATGTGGGTGACCGAGACGCTGATGCCAAATTGTGGTAGAGGCACAAGCTGAGACGAACGCATAATGAGACCTCAGAATTGACAGTGAGTACAAGCCCCCCGAGCTAGGTCCTTTAAGAAGTATGGCCTGAGTTGTGCAATCCTTCACAACAAAAAAATCGGGGTGAAATTCAAAGAAGCAGTTATTATCTTTAGTGAAACGATTAACATATAATAACGACACAGATAATTCAGGGACGTGTAAGACATTGGATAATTTTAATGACTTAAACGACTTAGAGACCAATGGAATTACTGCATGACCAACACGCGAGCTCGCCAAACCTGTGCCATTACCCACTCTCAGGACGTCACTGCCGTGGTACTCCTCGGATTGCGCAATTACACCGGAATCAGGAGTTGTGTGTGTTGAAGCGCCTGTGTCCGGCAGCCACGCCGTAGCTTCCGATGAGATGCCTGAATCTGCTGCGAGGGCAACATGAGCTTGGGATGGAGATGGCGGTGGCTCCGAATATCTGCGATAACAATAGACGGTCGAATGGCCCTGGGATCGGCAGATTTGGCAGCGCGAGGCTTTTCCTCGGCCACAAACACCACGATTTGTCTCTTCTTCATGTATGTCTCCCTGTTTAAGCAAAATATTTATAGTTTGGTAGTACTCATCAACTGACATTTTTCCTTGCACCGTTCCCTGCAATTTTCTTTCAAGATCATAGAAAAAAGATTTAGGACGAAAGGTTAGGCGCATATTTTCCCTCACTTGAACCTAAGATTCATAGGAAGTAAATTAGCAACTCTCTCTCTGTTTCTTTTTCACCACCAAGATAATGCATACCCCTTAAAAGATGTAGCAACTAGCCTAGTTTTTGTAAGATCAGAATATTGCATTAAATAAAAAAGAGTTTCAACAGAATTCTCCCATTCTATATATTCGGTAGGTCCCTTCTCACCGTGAAGTTAGGAATTTCATGTTTAATGTTTCCTAACTCCGGATTACGCTGTTCGATCCTTTGACATCTATGATCCACTCTTCCTACAGGTGGCAGGTGTCGCTCATCATTGTGTGGTGGTTGCACTTGCTGTGTGCGTTGCTCCAAATTATTCATTCGTTTGAGTAACCTGTCAATCTTTTGTTCTAATGTCTGGGGCAGGTTTGGAACTTGTTCAGCCATCTGTATAGGAAAAAAATCTAAAAACAAGAAGATATGTGAATATTCATGTTAGTGAAACCAAAAAGTTGGCTCCCTCCCTCACTATTCTCAGCTCGCAGGTAAGAGGTGGATTATATGGCTCTTGGAGTGCACTACACACTCTTACAAACACACACTCCACTCGTGTATCGCTAAAGGTGGCAGATACTCTCACAAGCCTTTTTCCAAAAAGGAAAATTCTAGTCCGAACTCAAGTTGATATGGATTCAACCTCAAGTTCAAGAAAACGTACCTTGGAAAACTTCACAAGCCTTTGAGGGTAAGGTGTATCGCGAGGTAGGTAATAAAATTGAGAGCAAGAACCAAAGAAAAAGGACAATACAAGCAAAGAAACTAAGCAAGATTTGAAAGAAAAATGGTAGCAAAGAAAGAAGTATGGCAGAAAGATATGCATGACCAATATCAGAAGATAGACACAAATAGAATGTTACAGGGGTTCAAGTGTACCACAACCAAATAGGAATATATCAAGAACTCCTTTCAACCTTATACTTTTCCCCTTCCTTTTCCCTCCAAAATTCTCCTACCAACCAGATTCTTTCCCCAACCTTATTCTTCTTCTTTATTGCTGTCCCTTTTTTGCTTTTTTTTTCAACTTTCTTGATTTTTTTTTATATGTATCCTCCAAATAACTACTGTAAATATCAACAAAAATTTTGGCCCAAGAGGATCCACACAACCCCTTCAAAACATAATCAAGAATTTCAAGAATCACCTAGAAAAACATAAATGCTGCCCTTACTTTGAAGATCAATATCTCAAGGCTCAAGTATCAAATCGCACCATGAACCAATTGTGATATGTCATGTCGCACCCTAATCTTTCATATATGCCGTTTTGATGCACAAACCATTAAATTTTGTTCGTGTAGACTTTTTAGCAGGTTTTCAGGTTACCTTGATGACGTGGCGCCGGTTATGTGTTAATGTGAACTTATTTTTGAAATTAAACACTCATTTCATGGGTTATGTGCTGACATGAACTAAAGGTCATCCATACACTGATCTTCAACGCCAGAACAATAGTAATGATCTTCAGTTCCTATCAGTATCCTTGGACGCAGGCGAAAACGTGCTTCCCCATTGCGGAAAGTGGACCAGAGTCACCGGAGGAGTGCGGGCCATGATCATTATCTCCATGAACGACAGCCCCGACGCAGTGGAGAACTTTGAGGTGGAGAAGAATATTAGCTGGGTCAATCCAGACCCGGAGTTACCTCCGACGTCTGTCAACCCCGAGATGATACCCAACAACCAACGGGAAATGAAGGGTCGTATGATGCCGAAAGTGGCCCGGCAGGCCACCTGAGCTCCGATGGAGAAGATGATCATCCATGTCACAGCTAAGGGAAGCGAATTCACCCGCCCCAGAAGGAAGCAGAAAAGTCTTCCCATCGTTTGCAAAATCCATAAGGTCCATAGCCTACCCCTCATTCCGAAGAACTTTGCGGCGTAATCTGAATCATTACAAATTCCACTTGCCAACACTTTCTTCTCTCCAAAAGGTTGAAGTGCATGCATAATAGCTTAATTATTGAATTTTCTTTATTAAGTTTGAATTTGGTTTATGCATGTCGTCTTTGAATTGATTCAGCTATTCTTTCTCCCCCTCTCTTAAAATATAGTATTCAAATAAAATGTCAAATTTGGAAATTTAAATTTGGAACGGCCGCGCCACCAGATTTGCCATTCCAAAGGTCGCCGCAATTATCCCAGCCATGTGGAGTTTTAGATCAAAGCTGAAAACACAAAATTTAAAATAACTACACTCGTCGGTTCCAATTGCCGCAGCCGCGACTCAGCTTCTCCAAGAGGACGCCAGATATGCTGTGACACCAAATGAGGGAGTGCTACTACCGCCGGAAGTCCAGCCACCGTTGCTTCGCTCGTTTGAAACAAATAGCTCGCCGGTCGTCACTACAGGAAGTCGCCAACCACCAACAGCGCAGCTGCTCGTCGATCCAATCCAGACGTGTCTCGCTGCTGCTGCTGCTTCCAGGTGTTGCCGTCGTTATTGCTGACCACGCCGCCATTGCTCCACTGCTGCCTTCGTTCACGCCATGGCTGCCGGTGAGAGTGGATACCAAAGGCCTCCGCCGCACACCTTAGGCGTGGCTCCTGTAGAGAGTGATAAGAACAAAGCAGCCAGAGAAGAACATAGAGAGGAAAAAAAAACATAGAGAAAAAATGTTGAGAAAGTCAAAAAAAAATGCCATGTCATATTTTTAATACATATTTAAATAACTTAATAAAAAAAAACACCTCCACGTCAGCATATTATAACTGGTAACTTGATGGCAACCTGCTCAAAAGTCTAGACGAACAAAATTTGATGGTTTGTGCATCAAAACAGCATATATGAAAGATCAGGGTGCGGCATGACATATCGCAATTGGTTCATGGTGCGATTTGACACTTGAGCCATATCTCAATGACCGTAAGGAATTATTAGGTTTATAATATATCAATAGAACTCCCTGGAAGAGATCTACAACATATCAAAATGTCAGATAAAAGTAACTAGTGGATCTCGAGATATAGGTCATTATTTGCAACTGGTCACAGAACGCGGAAATCTGGACAGGGTGTTATTGCGATGTGATTGCGCGTAGATGCGCTTCAGATATAGGTAAGGGTGAGATGGTATTGATTTCTTGACTGCATTTGTGGTAATATGGTGCTTGGGAGGTGTGAGGTATCGTTGATATTGGATAGGAAAAAGGGAAAACTCTTTCGCGATAGGTTTTTCAAGTAACTGGAGAACATGTATCAAGATTCAAGAACACAATCAAGAATGCAAAGGAAAATTTTTTTTTGGGGTTTTATTAATGAATAAGACACGAAAAAAAAGTAGTATGTAAGATAAGAGTGAGACAAACCTAGGCTCTGAATACCAAATTGATATGAACCTAGTCCAAGGTTCAAATAAAGATGGAATATTGTCCCAAAAATGCTCTCAAAACTAAAGATAGAGATGGATCGAAATACCTTAGACCTCATGAGAAACCCTTTGTCTCGAATCCTCAAAGACTTTGAAGAATCCCATGTAGCTTCAAGTACCTCGATGATGCAATCTTCAATCAACTAGAGTCGGATCTAGTTTCCTTCGATTCAAGAACGAGTCCACGAACCTAAATCTAAGGTTGAAGAAAGTAAGATTGATTCGAGTCCACGAATCAATTTGCTAGTCGAGTCCACGACTAGCCACTAATTGAGTCCACAATTAGCCATAAGGTTTCTTACACAAGTGTAAAGAAAAACTAAAGAATTTTATTGAATTAAAGTCTTGAGTTCGTCTTCATCTTTTGCAAATGGGCTTGACTTGGATTTCCACAATCTTTGAACATCAGCAATGAAGAGTTGCCTTAATTGTTTGGACTTGGGCCTTGTGATTGGCCTAATTGGTGCTCTTGATGGATCTTCATTATGTTGGGCCGCATCATCCTTTGAGGATTCGAGACAAAGGGTTTCTCGTGAGGTCTAAGGTATTTTGGTCCATCTCTATCTTTAGTTTTGAGAGCATTCTTGGGACAATATTCCATCTTTATTTGAACCCTGGACTAGGTTCATATCACATTTTCCATTAAACAATTCTTGTATTGATTAATTTGCCATTCAATTAAGTTTTATTCTATGAATTTGAGTTGAGATTAGTTGTATTGAATTTGGCCAGTTCTAGCATTTGATTAATGTTTCTAGTCTTTATTGCCTACTATGTTTTGTTTCGTCAATTGTCTTTCTTACATTATTTTCTACCTGTTTTTTTCATTCGGCTTTCAGTTGTTGATTGATTCTAAGCATTTTAAATTATCAAGTTCATTGTTTTAGTTTCAAGTTATTAAATTGCATCGTATCAATTCCTTGTGAGTTCGACCCTTGCTTTTGCACCCTATTACTACACTGATTCGTACACTTGCGAGGACTATATTTAAAATTGTCCATCAGGTGGCCGGCGGGTGGTCTTCCACCCGCTGGAAATTTATGGTGGGTCGTGGTGTTTTTCCCTGTTTGATGATTCCCCGTGTCCCGTTGTGTCCCATTATACCCCGTTTGTCATGTATGAGTCTCGTTTGATGTTTGAATACCGTTCTAAGAATTTATGTGTAGTATGTGTCATTGTTATTATGTCTTGATTGTTATTGATTGATTATATGTTGATTGATTGAATGATGATGAGTATCGTGGTCATTGCGCAATGATCGGTGTGATTGACGATGATGAGATTGTGATTGGTGGAAATGAATTATTGGTGGATGACACAGCTAGTGTGTAACACCCCCCTAAAACCATGCTATTTAAAGCCTTAAAACGTGCAGATAACTTAAACCAAAACACTAAACACAGCGGCAGACTGAAAGATAAGGTATATATAAAACGAGGAAACGGGGTGCTATGCCACACTCACCCAAGGGTGAACGCACAGGCTAAATCTGCAACGTTTAGTTCTATAATCATCCAACAAAGTTCTATGTCTATACTGGCTCACAGGCCTCAAAACACAAAGGGAAAACTATGCTAGCAGGCACTAGACCGCGCACTCGTCTAAGCATCACCTGAAAGAAGCATATAAAACATGGGACGACGCCTAATCAGTGAATAATGCTGGTAACCCACCAATACATGTGAAATATCATACATTGGTAAGATATACATTAGTAAAATCATTAGCGAAACGGAATACATATACATAAGTCAAAAACCAAGAGTAATAGTCAACACAAGACTCAACACACTCAACAAGAACATGGGAACACATCCCAAGACCACAAGGAACAACAACTCACAAGAAGTCTCAAGGTATGGTCTATCATCACACAATAGACCAACACCCGACATGCATAACTCAAAGAATAAGACACGACAAATGGCAACACATACCATTGTGACTACACACATCACAAGAAAAGAACTCACAACAACGGCTACACAAGCCCTCGTGACATCACCCATCACGAGTTGATATGCCTTACTTATGCCCGGTTCCAACCTTATGGCTACCCCCAACCTTGTATCTTCTTCCAACCATTACATCAATGACCCCTGTACTTCTTAGTCCAACCTTTTCCCTCCTGGGACCGTCGTCCCCCACCGACAAACCACCAACAAGATCACCAATTTCATAGTACACGATGGTACCGTTCACACACACGGCGACACACGCCTTACCCAAAACACGTGAACCTGACACACAGGTCACAACTTCATAATCACCTCATGGCCACCACGAGCACCACTGCAATACCTTGGTGACTAGTGTCTCATACCACTAATCGTGCAACCTAGGTAAAGCCACACACACATCACACCACATCAGGAATCAATCAACGGATCACAACGAAGATATCAAACCATACTCAATCAAAGAATGGAACACAGTCCAACAACAACAACGATGAATAACACAAGTTATCATCAACTCAGAAAAAATCCCCCAACAAAACCAACATGTTCCCCGAGGTTGGACCGACGGGTAGGCCCCTACCCGTGGTCCTGCCCGCGGGTACCAACACCCTCAAGCCACGTTCCCGCGGGTGGGGCGGCGGGTAGGGCTCTGCCCGCCGTTCCGCCCGCGGGTACATCCCTGTGCCCAAAATAATCCCTTCGGGGATTTTCAACTCCAAGCTCAAATTCAAGTCCAAAACATGCCAAATCTCACCAAATACAGCAAAATGACTTGAATCAAAAGAATAGTCAAGCAATGGCACACAAGAACCCTAAACACAAGCTCTAGATATGCATTTTCACAAGACAATGCATAAACACTCACATTTCATAGCAAAACACATGTAGAATCCTAGAAATATTCACATAGGTAAGCAAAATAGATTTTGTAGAGCATGGGTTACCACTTGTAGACCAAAAACCTTCACTTAACACCACACCAAGCTCCTATCAAAGCCCACCTTCCAAACCCACTTCAAAAACACACCAAAAGATCATAAAGATCCTATCTTTAAGAAAAGACACCTAAGAGAATACTAAAAACACAAGATGAACATGGATCTTACCCTCCTAGATGCCCAAATTTATGAAAGGTAGAATCTTGGAGCCAACTCTTGAAGTCTTGACAAGGTTTCAACTTCGCTTGGAAGAAAAGCTACCCACCTTTTTAGAGAGAAGATGGAGCTAGGATTTTGGAAAGTGTAAGGATAGAAATTAGGTGCTCTCACTAGGTTAGGTTACAATACTAACACAAGGTGAAAGGTCAAGAATACCCTTACTAACAGGGAAAGGTGTAAGGAACAAGGGAACTCCTTACAAAGCTCAAGGTACAACTTTGACTTTGGGGTTGACTAGTCAATTACTAGTCCCCGACTATTAAATTTCAGGAATTTAAGGAATTGAATTACAATTTGAGATAGGATTAATTACTTAATTAATTCCTTAACTGAATTTGGATTTCGGGGTGTCACATCCTTTCCCTTCAAAGAAGCTTCGTCCCCGAAGCTTGGGTAGGACGAATTAGAACAAACGGTAAAAAGGATAACAATGTGACAAAGAGTTTCAAGAACAATTCCTTT